AGAGAATTATTTGACGACTACGAGACTAAGGCAAATGAGAAAACTGATACTCAATACAGTGATGAGAATCAGCGTGTGCGAAAAGGGAAAAGGCATCACGATGATGGACCTGCAAAAGAAGTTGTGCTCAGAGGAAAAGAGAAATTAAAAGTTGATACATATTTGCCAGTACTAGACATGCTGTGTACAGAACTGTCGCGGCGCCTAGAAGCTTACCGGGAAATAAATGATCTGTTTGGGTTTCTAACAGATTTCTCGACAAAATCCGACGCTGAAATTAGACAGGCTTGCACAAAGTTTAAGGAACATCATTTCGAGGACATTGAGCCTGAGTTTATAGACGAAATGGTGCAGTATAAATACTTCATCTTATAATTAGAAGACCCCGGAAAAAAAATTGTGCCTGCCGAAGAGTCTTACAAACTGATTATTGGTAACATGGCACACAATCAACTTTCCCGAATGTAATGACAGCTTTGCAAATATATAGAAGTCTAATGATTACAAACGCCACTGGTGAACGAAACTTTTCCAAATTGAAATTAATTAAAAACTGTCTTCGTTCAACTATGTCTCAAAACCGTTTAAATTCATTGGCCATAATGCCAATTGAAAATGATGTATTGGAAAAGGTTAACTTTCAGGATGTCTTGAACGATTTTGTAACAAAAAAAGTTAGAAGAGTTAATATTTAAGCTTATTGTATGATTTTTTTTAAATGCATATATTAATTACTTATATTCCTTTCGTTTGATTCAATATTTTTATTGAATAATGTGACAATATAACTATGAAGTAAAAAACAGAGTAATTATGAATAAAGTGTTGTGTTAGCGAAAAAATATATTAGGAAGTTAGAAGACGGTAGGGGGGGGGGGCGAGACGAGCATTGCCTAGGGACCGCGACATGCATAAGCCGGCCCTGATTTTACTGCATGCTTACATTAATTATAATAAGTATAGTATCAATTCAAGCTGCGACTTCAACCTAATAAATAAAAGCAAATCTCATTAAATTAAGTAAATAAAATACCCTTAAAATTTTAATAACTGAAAAAAAATGCGTTTTAAGCATTGTATTTAGTACTACATTTATTTAATCAAACAATCTATTATATATTTCATTAACAGGGTGCGTAGTCAAATCTTTCAACAAAAAATAAGCACCTTTTAAGCACTCAAAAATATTTTTAAGTATTATGTTCATTAACAAAATGCAACATAATTTTCAAATACTTTACATGATCATGCTAAAATAACTAGTTTCTGACAAAGAACTCTTTTCTTGATTATATTAGCCATTATAAAATGATCAAAAGATTTTTTCGGTTCGATATCAGAGGGTCTGGAATTGAGAATATCTTGCAAAATGCAGCAGTGTTGCAATGCATGAGACTGCAATAATCTCACCGAATCCAGCTCAGCAGACCCACATAAGGATTAGGGACTCGCAAGTATTTCACCAAGCATGTAAAATGTTTGGTGCTTTCATACCATATGAACAGACAGTACGCCGAAATGGATTGTGGTGGAATGAATTGTGAAAACGTAGAATAGAACAATGTGAAAAGCACGCTTTTCGACACGGTAAAGAAAAGAAAAATCTCATTTTCGAAAAGGGAAAATTAAGCACTTTTTAAAAACATCCAATGAAAAAAGCACCTTTAATGGCTTTTAAATAACGAAAATCGAAATAAGCACTTTTTAAAAACGCTACGCACCATGATTAATGAAAAAGTCTCCATATGACATAAATACCACGCTGTTCGCTTTGCAATTAGTAAATAAATAAAATATTTAAAAGTTCTATTGAATTTTCTGCATAACATAACGATTTAAGACAGTTTTCCATTGTTGACGGATCTTTCTTATTGGTCGAAAAATCACGTAATAGAGCACAGTTTTCTAACATTAATTTCTATTTTCTATATTTTTTTGGTTGTCATCAACTTAAAATTAATTTAAAAATATTTTTGAATCCGTAATTTAAGGGTATTTGCCTGCAGTATTTAAATTTCTTATTCTACTCTTGATTGACCCAATGCTATGTAAGCACTCAAACTGACCCATTTCCAATAATATTCTACTCTGCTGTAATTACGTTTTCGATTTTGATAGTTTTCGAAATTAAAAGTTTAAAAATAAAAGAGTTGCTTATTTATTAGAACGCAGTCCTACCTTATTACGGCTACGTTTTAAGATAAACATATTTAAATCGGCTTTTAAATTTTATTAATCGTTTGGTTTGACAATAATTTTCGTTCAGTTTTGCTGTAATCCCATTTCCGATTACCATGATATACTTTGCTTTCAATGACGTCACCTTTGAGATACCGATTTTCGATTATTTCTCGAATATTCTACCTCAGATTACTACGATACGGGAATCTTCCTACTTTATTAACTTTTAGAAAAAATCTAATAGAGACATGTATATGATCCACTGAAAATGTGTCGGGGCAAGTAATATCTAATAAATATTGGTTCCGCAAATCACACAATAAAATAGTCAATAAACAAAGCCCCTACAGATATTTTAATTTATCCTGAGGATCAGTAGTGGAAATAAAAAAATATCACTGTGAGTGAAAATCAAAATATTTTTATTTATAAAATATTCTTTAATTCACTATATAAATAATTACACTCAAATAAATTTTAAATATAATTATTATAGTGACTTGCTTCCTTGTATTATTAAAACAAAAATTTCATAACAATATACAAAGTTTCAATTCAGTACTTTAATTCTACCTATTCATCGTAATAACGATTTTCATCATCTTAATAAAATTAATGATTATGCATTCTACAATTGGCTTGGTTTGCTTTGGAAACCAAGCGAATTTTAAGGCAGAGTGTGCGTTTCTTGTTTCTTAGTGGGTCCATCTATGGCTAATAATACGATTTCTATCACACATACACATCACAGCCTGTTTTATAAGGCGGATTCCTTCATACATCCACAGATCATGATTTTGACCTGAATCAGAGAACGATCAATCTCCAATTCAGTACTCCCAGAGGCATTGATTTGTAATAGAAACTTCGAGAACTTTGTGACCCCTACAGATTTAACGTGCACCAGTCACCATTTGATACACGGGATTTCTTCGGCCAGCGTAATTCGAAATCCTTATCTCATGAACAAGAGTCCAACGTCCTACCATCCAAGCTATCCCGACCTTTCCAGTAACCATAGGACTAGTAACTAAATTTTCCTTAGTTTCGATACTCCTTCAACCAATTTAATTAAAGAAAAAAATTTTTTTTTGTTAAAATAATGTTTTAAAATTTTGGCGTAAGTCTCGCATACCTTAAGGAGCACCAATTTATGAAAATGACATTTTCATCCTAACTCTTTCATCTGCAGCTTGCATATATATGTTTCCAATTCTTTTTTTCTTTTTAGTTTTAAAAAAATAAATAAATAAATTTTAGGAATTCGTACGCGCAACCATTATTTTTTATTCCTTCGTAAAACATTAAGAATGAATAAAATAACGAATGAATGAAATTCAGTGGTTCAACATATTATCCTGCATAGTCTATTTGCATATTATAAATATTGATTGTAAATCTACAATGAACATAAATTTTAATTCTGAAATCTTAAATAATATCTTTTAAATTGAGCTGAAAGTTTTGAGATTTAATTTATTTTTAAGTATAAAAAGAAATATTCACATTTTTAAATTTCAAAACGGTCAACATCAATGTGTATGTACACGCATTTAAATTAACACTGAGTACAAAAACCTATTACAAAGCAGAGATGCGCAGGTCGAAAGTTGAAATGTTCGATCCCCACTCAAACTTTTTTTTTTGAGTGCTCGACTTCGACTCCAACTTACACTTATTAACATTTTCTCCGAACCCTCGTAAAATATTATAAAATTACTAAATAAATATAAACTTTAAATTATACATTTCTATTTTATAAAGGATTGTACTTAATTATAACTAAATAGTGGCAAAGAAAAGATAAATCATTAAAATATAATAGCTACCTTTGATGATCAGCTTGTTCTCACCTTTCAAAATTATCTTGTACAATATATAATCAGATAATTAACGGTAACCAAGCAGAATGCATCTCACAACTATATACTAATTCTTTAATCCCTCCTCAACTCCTAAAATTTTAATTAGTTCAATATATTACCTAACCGAGTTTTCATTTCTATAAAAATGCAAAATTGCTCAGAATTAACTGTTTAACACTACTTAAAAGAACCTAATAAAATGAATAATAACTATAAAGTGTTGCCAATAGATAGAGAAATACAAGAGTTCATGGTGCAACAATAAAGATTGTAATTGACCATCATCCTTGAAAAAAAACCATCAACTTCCTGGTTCAATGGCGCCTGGGAGTCGCTAAGAAGGGAAAAGTCCCGGAATACTTCATTTACTTTTTTATTATTTCTTTAAAAACTATATTTTTTTCATTCATTGTCCTGGAACGCTGGGTGAAGGCAGCTAGTAGCTATTGATGTCGCTTTTTTTAACTCTTAAAAATTTAATTATATTTGCTAATTTTTAAATATTGTCTTTTTTCCACCTTTCTGGAACTGGGAAATATTATAAATATGATACACAGAATTCATTTGCAAAATAATAATCTTTGCACTGAATTTTTCAATAAAGTTTAAAAAAAAAATTTAAATTTTTGCAATTTTTCAATGGTTTTATCAAATATTGGCTCAAAAACGTTCGAATGTGATAAAATGAATTTGAAATAAGTTATAATTCTATAAATGTTTTCCTAAATTTTCATAACATCAACAAATTTGTTTATTCTTTAAACAAATAGTATCACCTAACATTCAAGTAAACGAAATCGCATAGATTTTTCTGACTTTTGTGAATTCCCCCCCCACACACACACACTCTACAAAGCAACTTATATATCCTATCAACATAAAAACTTCATCAGAAACATTTTTTTTTAAAAAGAATAATAAAAAAGAAAGAAAAGAAAAGCATGCATATCTTACCATATGTTAACAATCCTTCTAAAAGTGCTATAATATAGTTTTATTAAAATGTTAAAACAATATCTCGAATAAGTTTTTATGAATTTGAAAATTGCTGACAGTGTCATGGCTATCTTTTATACTGGAACTAAAAGATATTTTCCGTTATTTAACAACACGAGAACATTTCTTGGCAAACATTGTCTGCGATAGATCATTTAATGCAGCGTTTTAAAATCTTCAAATGTTTCTCATAGATAACGATCATTATTAGTTAAAAAGAACTGAAAGTGAAAGTCGGAAGATGAGGGGGGAAAAACAGGAAAAGGAATTGGGGTAGTATAAATAAATAATCGTGAATAGATAATTTAAAATAGCTGTCTTCATGGCTAGATTCTTCCAAAAGAATCTTGAAATAAAAAAACTCTGAAGAAATAGTTTTTTTTTTCTAGGCCAAATGAAAGAAACTCCTTTTTTTAAACAGTTAATAATACAATTTTCCAAGCTATAAACATCATTTAAAACTAATAAGCAATAATAAGAAAGAAAATGAATTTAATAAATTTTTATTAAATTAAAACAGCTCTTTTGATGTAAAAGAATACAGCAAGTAGAACTTAATTTTATAAAAAGTATAAAGGACTGTAAAAATATATTACTCAAATTTTAAAAATACAAGATAATGAAAAAGTCACACACTATTTACTCATAACCACAACTACACATCACATATTGTATTCACAATTAGAAAAAAATATATATTTGTTTTCATAAGTTAATACTGATTATTTTAATACACACATAGTAATATAAATACTCAAAACTATTCCCAGATAATGCACTAAAGGTATTTCTAAAGAGATATTTTTTTGCAGACTTTTATAATCAGTTAATTAAAAATTATGAAATAAAACAGGTTTTTAGTTGTTTTAAAATGGAAAATCTTAATTTAAAAATAATGCATTCGGAAATGTTATTAATGTGTAGTCTGAAATGGAAAAAAAATAAATAAAATAAAAATAGCCCAGTAGTTTAAATCATTCTAACTTCATGGAAAGTATAAATTAACAAGATTGCAAATTGAATGGGGGTCGCGAGGGTTGAGGTCAAGGTGGTATTAATTTCATCAAAATACAGTAGATATACATTTTTTTGAGCTTATCAGAAATTTAACTTAGAATTCTGAATTTTTTGCAGAAGTTTCACATGAGCGTTAACATTACTTAAATATAATAACCTTTGTGAAATATCGCAAAGAACTGTTATAAATTGATTTTCTTGAGAGCTAAAATTTGAAGAAGAGTATGATGTCTTGCTCACATGATAAAAATCATATTAATGACTCTAATTGGGCAATCAAATATGCTCTTTTAAAAACAGCTTATTATAGCTTGTAAAAATTTAAAAATAAAAAGTATTTTTTAAATTGGAAAAAAAAAACTTAATTCTCAAATTTATGTAAAAAATGTATAAAAAAAAATAAAACAATTATCATTATTTAAGTGCTAGTATGAATTAAAATAACATGCTATACTCGAACCAAATATCAAGTTTTAACTTAATACGTTCATTGGAAGACAAAGTTATTAAGTAAGTTATTTGAAATCAAAATTTTTAAGCATTTCAAACTAATTAAATAAGAATGTTTTACTTCATTTAACTATGCTTATACTTAATTTAACATTCAACAATTAGTTCGAGAATAAATAAATGTTAAATTGGTAGCAAAAAGAAAAAAAATATTATGCGAACCTATCTGTTGCCAGTTGAAATGCAACTACGGAGTTGAAACTTGACATGCTCAATAAAACCTTTTTTTATATATAAACTTGATGCAAGTTTTTCTCGAAATTCCAATTCATTCAAAACTATTGGAAATTATATATTAAATTTTTCGAATATTTATTTTTTAAATATTTCCTAGTTGTTCATTATTCTAGAAAATTTATTTTTCATTCTCGAGATCTTTACTTTCTAATCGCGCGTTAGATTTTATGTGAAAAGTAACGAAAGGAAAGAGAGAGATATGATGTTGTCAGATAAAAATCTTTACATTTATATTGAGAACGAGGCCGGGGGGGGAGGGTCCGAACCTCTTGCCTTAATATTACAATAATACTAATATTAGGGGTGCTAAGCCAGCGGACCGCGAGCCACATGCAGCCAGTCGACTGTTGATGTGCGGCTCGCGGGAGTTTCTGAAAGCAATGAATTTTTTTTTAGAAAAATAATGAAAATATTGAATTTCAATTTGAACTATAATGGATTTGTTTTAATTTTTGGTTTTTGTTTAAACATTATAAATTCTCTTTAATAAAAATACTTAATTCAAATCTATATTACTCGAGAAAATATGCACATTTTTTAAACATTTCCACTCTAAAAGCTCTACAATTTTTTTTTCTTTGGTTAGAATTTATACCTCCCCCCCTCTCTCTCTATATATATTAATAAATTAATTATTGCGATAAAAAAAGAAAGTTTTTTTTTAAAGAAAAGTATTAGTTTTTTATATCTTTAAATAAATTCAAATGATTAAAAGTATTTAATTTTCTGCTAATTTCTTATTAAGTTTACTGATAAAAAAAAAACTTATTGCTTAGAACACTTGTGTTTATATACAAATTATCAAATTTGCCGCTAACATGACTAAATATGCGTGCGGCACTTCGTTAATCTACTTGCTGCGCAAGTGGCCCTTCATTTAAAAAGGTTGTGCACCCCTACAATAATGAATAAAAACATACCACAATAATGAAATACAAATTTGTTTACTCTGATAAAATGAAGCAATTTTAAATATAATTGAAATATAAAATTCCGAAATGCACCTCTCGTTCTCATGTTTGCATTTGATTAAAGTAAACATGATGTACCCTTAACAGGATTAAAAAAAAATGAGAAAAAAAACTTGAGCAGTGAAAAAAATTTAAAGTATTCTCAAACTATTTAAAACATTTTGGCTATGATTTTTTTTAAAAGCTTTTTGGTAGTTTAAACTAGCTGACACTGATTTACCTATCCATATTTATCATAAAAATATAATTGCTATGCATGTAATATTGTTACAAAAGATTGCTATATTATTATAAAATATGTCTTACTGTTTTTGACTATCGTCAGTGCTTTTTCATTTAGCGGTAAAAATCACATGATATGGCCATAATTAAACAAATGAGATATGAGTACATTGGCTAATATCAGCATAACTTTTTAATATAATTAAACATTATTTAGCAGGAAATAATTATTTGAATTTTTGAACGGCATCTACCAATAATATTTATTTATAAACCTTCATGCTCTAATTAAGCTTTAAATTTTAACTATTAATTAAAAGCAAAGCTTAAAAATAAAAGTGATTATCCTTTAGTATAATAAGCGATGTTATAAAGTTATAGAATCGTATTACTCAACCTTTTATGATGGACATATTTAGTTACCGTTGTACAATTATCATATATAAAAATTTTTAAAAAATAAATAAATAAAAAAAATAGTTAGAAAAACATTTTTTGTCATTCATATTCTGTAATGTATCGATAATTGATTCAGTAAATTAAAGAAATTTTAAAGACGAAAAACTATGTTAACTATGTAAACTTAAAAAAGTGCAAATTTTTGTTAGAAAGTGAGCCTTGTGTGTGAGACTTTACCTTTAAAGCCGAGCAAGATACAAGTGTTTCTTGTTATATTTCACACAATCATAAATTATTAAAATACTAAATATAATATTTTTCACTAAAATAATTTAAAAAGTATGAAAAATATATTTTATAAAAATACTACGTCAAAGAATAAGAAATTCTGGGTTCTACAAATGAGATATATAAAATATTCATGAGTATTAAAATAAATATACTAATTGAAACAGGATAACATACCAAAACTAGCTCCACTTGCAATACTTTTATTCGTTCTAGAATTAATTGATAGGAAAACTGCTTGAAGAGAAGAAAGGGAAGTTTCCCCTTTAACTTCAAGGATGCATAAAGTTCTGCTTAAATTGCAGATTTCAAGACTCATTCTTTCCGGAAATCGAAAGTGAAACTTAACTTAAAACTTGTTTATAATTTGGTTCGATCAATAACCTTTAATTGTAGCAGTTATTTCAACCCAGTCATATAATCAGAATTTAAATATTAGAATTTAAAAAAAAAATTTAGTTAAGGAATGTTCTTTCACGAAAACGAAAATGAAACTTAACTTAAAACTTATTTCGATCGCTTATAAAATAAGGTCCGCAACGGGAATTTTAACCGATACATAGTATACTCGAAAGTTATATAAATAAGATTTTTAAAGAAAGATAAATAAATAAAAAATTTAAATATAAGCTCTTATTACATAAAATTAAAATGTAAGCTTATATTTGAGGAGAGTAAAATTCGCGCTCTTGACAAATTTAAAATTCTTAACAGTTTTTGAATATCTTTATTTAAAAAAAAAAAAGATCTATTTTTTTTTATCTTTAGTTATTAAGGTAGAAATTTCTAATTTATTAATTTTTATTTTTTTTTTAATTATTTTTCCTTTACGTCAAAAAATTCGTAAGAACTACATAGGTATCGGGAAATCAATGCAAACTATTTAATTGCTCCCAAACTTATTCTAAATTTAATCTGAGGGAGACCTGCAACTTATAACAAAGTGAGACTAACAGCGCATAACAGCATAAACATCTGTATTCTCTTACTAATTATTTTCTTGAAATTGAATTTTCGTAATAATGTAAAATACTGATTCATAATGTAGAATAAAATGTAAAATAATTCATAATGTAGAATAAAATGTAAAATAATTCATAATGTAAAATAATCAATAGCAATGTAAAATTATTCACAAACTAATGACCACATCAATATCCTTTTCATATCAAAATGTTCCTTTAACGTTTCTCTAAAACTGTGAAAATTTTTCATATTTTTTTTTTGCATTCATTATTAGTGCTTTCATATATTTTTACTACTTTTGGTTTCAAATTGTTGCTTATTTATTTTCTATAATATTCATTTATTATTTTTTTCTGCATTTTTTGAAGCAGTAGCGATGACGGTAGTAACATTTTTATAGTATGCTGCTGCAAAAAATAAATATATAAATAATAATAGTTTTTGCTTAACTGCATTACGCAATTAAAAGTAAATAATAAAATAAAATTAGCATGGACATAAAACGTTTCAAAAATAATAACCTTAACTCTTAAAAAACTCAATGACATTTTCATAGCTCAACATAACTTGAAAATATTTGCGATATTCTACGTCCCCCACCCCCCTCCAATAATCTGATTAGAATTCACAAAACATTTTATTTT